TGAGGCTTTCTGCTCCCGTAAAGATTTACAGCTTGGGAAACCCTGTACAGGGTCACTATAAGTCGGAACCAAGTCCATGGCACATAACCACCACCACTGTTGTTAAGTGCTGTTAAGTCAATTTCAACTCAAGGTGACTGTGTGTAGGCTTTCCAAGGAATGGCTGGTGGGTTTGAACTACCAACCTGTGGTTACCAATCAGTACTTACCTGACTGTGCCACACCAGGACTCATGCCACTAAATCCCTAACATTTCTAAATCCTGTCAGCACCCTCTTATCTAGTTTCAGGCTTGACCTCTTGGGCTTTTCTTTGAGATCTTTTCTGGCCAGTTTGATGTCCACATCACCACCGCCCCTTCAGGCCTCTAGCTTATCACTGCTGACTGAAGAACCCTTTATGGTTCCCACTTGCCTCCATGACAGAACCCAACTCCTTGTCTCCACCCTCTTGCCGGTCTGGATGATTTTCCTGCTTCTGACAACAATGCCCTGCCCTTCCTACCCAGCTGGGTCTCCGGTGGGAAATGATGCTTGACATGGAGTGGGTGCTCATTAAACACCCCACCCGTCCTGTGCTAAGTGTGGTTTCAAATCAGGTGCTTGCTCTTTGGGGCCTGTCCAGTGTGGAAGACAAATATTGAAGCAAATAATTATTACCTAGAACTAACGCCATGGAGACCGCGGGGCGAGGGGGCGTGGCCTGACCTGCAGAGGGCAGGAGGGGACTTTGACGGGGAGATCTGATTTCTTCATTCCTTTCCCAGGAAACTGGGCTGAACCAGCAAAGGGCTGCCCTGTGGAAAGGGGGCAACTCTTCCTCAGCCTCAGCCATATATTGCCCCCGAGATCCCCTCCTCGGAATATTTGTCCGGATTTTTATGTTGGCTGCTCGTTCACAGCCGGATTGGGCCTGCAGAGGGCTGCTCAAGTGGCTACTGCCGCAAGAGCACCAGGAGAAAGTTGTTGGGTGGAATTGTCACACAGATCCTGCAGGGTGGCTGAAACCCCTGCTATAGCAGTGAAGGAAACTTGACTTGGAAACCAGGTCACCCTGCTAGAATGGGGCGGAGCCAGCGCCCAAGGGGAAGAGCTCGTCATTGGATTCCAGTCCGGGGGCTCGCTAGGAATTCCCCCGAGATGCTGCTGGGCCACGGTTAGGGCCTTCCCTGATGGCTTCTTCCTGAAAGTTCGTGTTGCTGGCCCTCCTGCCCGAGAGGCTGCCTGCTGACTATTAGGCAGGATACAAGCTCACACACACACCCATCCCCAGGCAACCCACATCACACAACCCCATTGTCCTTCCGAGAGAGTTCCAACTCATAGTGACTTTGTACAGAAGCAAACTGCCACATCTTCCTTCCACAGAGAAGCTGGTGGGTTCAAACCTCCAACTTTTGGGTTAGCAGCTGGGCGTTTTAACCACCGTGCCACCAGGGTGCTTTCTGAGTGCCGAAGGCCATGTGTAATTAATTATAGGTCCCTCACTGTGTTTATTTAGTAAGCCCTGGTCTCCTGTTTCCTGTGACCCTTTGCTCTAAGTGCTTTGCAAATAGTTCTTGCTTCTCCTTTTAAATGAATGTTGTATGTTTGTAAAATAAGCACACCATTCCCATTCCAGTTCCTTGATCAGGGATGAGGGTTGTGATCCTCACACGGGTGTTCTGTTCTGGTTGACTCTTGCCCCCACCCCCGCACCTTCCCACACCCGTTTTTAAAGGGCCATTGACTTTGTAAGGAGCCCTCATGCAACTGTAGGATAAGCACTGGACTGCTAACTACAAGGTGAAAGATGAGGCTCTCTGCTCCCATAAAGATGTACCACCTCAGACACCCTACACAGAATCGACCTGATGGCCACAAATTTGGTTTTTTGTTTTGGTTGATTTTTAAAAAATCTTATATAGATAGTTTTTTTTAAATGTCATAGCATAGAATGGTCAACTGTTGGAGATCCGAAGGGCAGCATTTACCCTAAGGACACAATTCAGAAGAGCTGGGAAAGAAGGAAGAACCGATGTGAACCACAGGGAGGAAGGGAGGTGGAAAACTTCTGTTTCATGGAGAGGATTGCAGTCACTGAAGTGAAAGGAAGTGTGTGCTTTCTGGAGTGGAAACCTGATGATCTATCTGCTCTGTAAACCTTCACTCAATCCACAATGAAATGTTTGTTTTGTTGGTACTAGAAAACAAAGTTTTAAAAAACAAACAAACATATGCTCAAAGCTTTATTCTTTGGGTTAAACTGTTACTAGTTTAAAGGACTTCTGGTAGCGTAGTGGTTACAAATCGGGCTGCTAATCTCACGGCCAGCAGTTCGAAACTACCAGCTGTTCCGCGGGAGACAGATGAGTCTTTTTGTTCCCGTAAAGATTCACAGCCTCGGAAACCCTATGCAGGGTCGCTATGAGTTGGAACCGACTCCACGGCACATAACAACAACAACAACAGTTAGTTTAAAGGTGACTTCAGGAGAGCCTTTCAATTTAAGGTTTGAAGAGCATCTTAGGGCTGTAGTCTCAGTGGGTCCGGTCCAGCTGGATCCTTCAAAGGTCTGCAGTTTCATTCTATATTATTCTCCTTTTCTGTCAGGATCCAGTTTTGGTGTCCCTGATCAGAATGTTTGGTGACGATCGCCTGGCTTCATCCAGTTCCCCTGGCCTCAAGGCAGTGGATGCTGAGGTGAATGGAGACACATGAGATCCTGTATTCAGATTCCTTCTCTGAATCTTAGGTCTTTTACTTTCTCTTTATTCCAGATGAATATGGTATTGGTGGTGGTGTTAAGTGCCATCCTGTATAGGGTTTCCAAGGAGCGGCTGGTGAGTTTGAACCATCTACCTTGCAGTTCAAACCAACCTTGAGGTTGAGTGCTTATTTTACGGTGCCACATCAGGACTCTAGATGAATATGTTGTTGTTGTTAGGTGTCATCGAGTTAGTACCAACTCATAGCAACCCTATGCACAGCAGAATGAAACACTGCCCGGTCCTGGGCCAACCTCACAATTGTTGCCACGCTTGAGTCCATCGATGCTGCCACTTGGCCAATCCATCTCGCTCTGGGGGTCTTCCTCTTTTTCTCTGACACTCTACCTTACCAAACATGATATCCTTCTTCAGCGACTGGTTCCTTCTGACACTATGTCTGAAGTGTGAGAGACAAAGTCTGGCCTCCGAGGAGCACTCTGGCCATGCTTTTGAGTTATGGTGTTGGAAGTGAATATTGAAAGTGCCGTGGGCTGCCAAAAGAACAAACCGATCTGTGTTGGAAGAAGTGCAGATGAATATGAAGGGTCCTCAGAAAGTTTGTGGAAAAATTCCATTATCTTTTCATTCCATTTCTCCTCAGACTTTTTGAAGTCCCCTGATACCATGAGGATGAACCTCAAACATGCTAAAGTAAAGAAGTAACGTATTATATGATTCCATTTACAGGAAATGTCCAGAACAGGCAAATCTATATATATATAGAAAAATAAGATTAGAAAGTACCTAGGGAAGGGGAGTTCAGGTGTGGCACAATGGGTTAATGCGCTGAACTTCAAAATCAGCATGAACCCCAAAGTCGCCAGTGGTTCAATCTCACCAGCCACTCCTCGGAAACCCTGTACAAGGTCACTATGGGTTGGAGTCGACTTGATGGCACTTAACAATAACAACAACAGGAAAGGGAAAATAGCCTTGGTGTTGCAGTGGTTAAAGTGCTTCGCTGCTCAACAAAAGGTTGGCGGTTCAAGCTCACCAGCCGTACCACAGGAGACATAGATGACAGTCATGATTCTGTAAAGATTTTCAACCATAGCTAGTCTACAGGGCACTTCTACTGTACGTGTCAAAATCAATTTAAACCCAATAGTACTGGGTTTAGGTTTATTTTTTTGTGTTGTTGTTAAGTGCCATCAAGTTGGTTCCCAACCCATAACGACATTGTACACACTGTATAGAGTTTCCAAGGAGCAGCTGGTGAGCTGGAACCACCAACTCTGTGGTTCAAACATTGTAGTCCAGGGCATTAGCCCACAGTGCCACACTAGGACTCCATTTTTTAGGGGGGGGAGCGGGAGGGGTTGAGAAGCATATAGCCAACAATGACTTTAAGACAAAGATGAGAAGATAAGGAAGTGAGTGGATTGGATGATGTTACACTGAGGGGACTGGGGTCAATTAAATGAAACAGTGTATATGAATTGGTGAATGTAAAAACTAATGTATAACAAAGGGAAGCTGGATAAACGGAACTAGAACAGAAACCTTGAGAGTGGTCCAGACACTACAAAGAACGCAGCCAGCACTGAGCAACTTGCACAGAAATTGTTGAATGGGAGCCAAAACTTCACCCCAAGCCCAATAAAATGATCACTCAAACATATTTTTTACTTGATTATGAATTGGGCGAAGGTTTACAGAGCAGAACTTTAGTTTTATACCTTCATGAACTCGTGTTTCAGTCCTTGACTGTGTTCCCCTCATCCCACCGGCTTCCCTTCCTTCTCCTTTCCTAACCCTTCTGAACTCTGTCCTTGGGCAAATGCTGCCCTCTTGATCTCAAATAGTTGATGAATCTAAAGTGTGTTTACCTCCCTAGTGTAATTGTTCTCTTTATAGCTTTATTGTTCGTCTGAAAATTGAGTCATGGGGCACAATAAAATATCATTAATAAAAAGGCCGACAGTTCACCCAACGATGCCTCAGAAGAAAAGGCTCAGTCATCTGCTTCTGAAAAAACCAGCCATCCACAACCCTGTGGAGCACAGTTCTACCCTGTCCCTCGCGAGGTTGCCTTAAGTCAGGCTCAACTCAATGACACACAACAAAAACAACCCGCTCATCTTGTCTAGACTTAAGGTGTTCTAGTTCCCCCCACTCCAGTGTCTTTGGAGCTAGCTCTTTTTTTAGGGGGGGGATCAGAACCCCAGACGGCGTCTACATTTCTCTCTGGTCCCCCTCCACCACGCCTCTCCTCAGGACCTGCCTCACCTCCCAACTTCTCTCTCTCCAGGAGCCCAAGATATACGTGTTCACGTGCTCCCCGAGGTCCAGGGCCCCCTGGGGGGCACTGTGGAGCTGCCCTGCCACCTCCTGCCGCCAGCCACTGACGTGCGCATCTCCCAGGTGACCTGGCAGCGCCTGGACGCAGCTGGGGGCACCCCGAATGTGGCTGTGTTCCACCCTGTGTACGGCCCAAGCTTCCCCAGCCTGAAGCCAGGCAAGGAACGCCTGTCATTTGTCTCGATCGGGAAGGGCACCGAGACGAAGCTACAGGATGCCACACTGGCCTTCAAGGGGCTTACCGTGGAAGACGAGGGCAACTACACCTGTGATTTTGCCACCTTCCCCAATGGCACCATCCGAGGAGTCACCTGGCTCCGAGTGATTGGTGAGTGCCTTAAGGGCTGGGGGGTGGGCAGCGAGGGGAGAGCAGGGCACAGTGTGGAGGAGCCTCATCTCTGCTCCAGTTGTGATGTTGATGCATCCTCTTGCCTTGGCTCCATCCTCATTGAGCATCTGCTTAGCATCAGACACCAAGGAATGATGGTTCTGTGGTAGAATTCTGAATGGGAGACCCAGATTCAATTCCTGGGCCAGTGCACTCATGCCCAGCCACCACCCATCTTGCTGTGAACAGGTTGCAGCAAAGCTTTCAGACTAAGAAACCAGGAAGAAAGGGTTGGCAGTCTACTTCCCCAAGTCAGCCAATGAAAACCATAATGGCTCACAGGAGTCCCCTCCACAACTGGTCATTGGGGCGGGTTGCATCTCATTTCATTGCGCATAACTTGGGGACAAACTACACAGTGGCTGACAAGAGCAGCAACATATGCCAGACACAGTTCAGAATGCTGACCGTTCAACAGCGAACAAGGCATTCATCCATCCAGTATAAGGAGGCTTCAACAAGTCTGTAGAAAAATGGAATAAAAAGGCAATGGGATTTTTCCGCAAACTTTTGAAGCCCCGTCATATTTATTGAGTGCCGGACACTTTCTGGGTTCTGGGGATAAAACAGAAAACAGATAAGTCCTTGCCCTCATTGAACTTCATATCCAGAGATTACAGAAAGAGGATGTCGGGAAATCATTCTTGGTAAATCAGGGGATCCTGCAATGAGATGGGCTGACACTGTGGCTGCAACATTTGTGTAAGAGCTGGACACGTGCCAGGAGTGAAGTAGGCTGTTCCTAGGCTTCAGTAATAAGGACCACAAAGCAGGTGACTTCTAAGAACAGATTTACTTTCTCACAGTTCTGGAGGCTGGGTGTCTTGAGAGCAGCATGTCAGCCATCTTAATTTGTTCTGAGGGAGAATCTCTTCTAGTTTCTGGTGACAGTGGCTGATCCTTGGTGGTCTGCGATTTGCAGATTCCTGACTTCAATCTCTGTCTCATCTTCACTGGATCGCCTTCCCTCTGTATCTCCTCTCTGGGACAAGGGTTCCAGTCAGACTAGATTAGGACCCACCGTACTCCCATATAACCTCATGTGAATTAAACAAATCACATCTTCCAAGACCGTTTTCAAACAAGGTCAAGTTCGCAGGTTCCAGAGGTTAGGACACAATGTAATCCTAACAGCCCATGAAACTGGGTGAGGGTCTGAGTGACCCCCCAGTGACACAGGAGGACTCGTGGGTCATGAAGGCCAAGTTGAGGAGGTTGAACTCCATTCTAAGGCCCATTTGGAATCATTGGAGGAGTTGAGATTATAAGAGGGAGATTATGAATAGATGAGTGGCTGTTTGTAGGGCCCAGGGAGGGTGGACAACGAAGAAGAGAGTAGAGAAAAGTAGAAGATGAGGAAGGGCATTGTGTGGAAGAGGGGAGGAGGGAGCAGTGGAGGTAAGAGAAGTAGGTAGAAGGAAAATGCTCTTAGGAGCTGGAAGGTGCAGGATTTGTCCATGGAGGAGGAGAACCAAGGAGAATCCCTAGCTGTCCTGCTCCAGCAGGACCGTGTCCGGCGCAGCCACAAAGCAGCATGGAGATGATTAAAAAGGTATGTTTTTCAAAGGATGTCCTTGCTTGCTAAAAATTTCAGGAAGGAGTACCCCCTTTGGAGTTCCCCTGGGAGGACAGCTTCCTCCAGCAACTTTCCAGAAGCCGAGTCACTCGGGACGTTGATTTTCCCCCTCTCAGTCCCAAAGTTTGAGAAGGCACCATCTCTGAGTAAATACTTCCTTTTACAAGGAGCCCAGAAACCTGCATGGTGATTCCCATCATTCATAGTGTGAGAAACAGTGTCGATAGCCGGACACTGCCGCGGCCCCTCTTAGGCACTAAAGGGTTAGTGTAAACCCTGATTAGGACCTTACCCCAATGAATCTCCTGAGGGAGGACTGTGCAAACTGCCTTATCCTGTATGAGGTCACCCATGTGTTTACTGACAAACACTCAAGAAATCCAATCTGTACTCTTTTTAGGGAGAGTGAGGCTTGCTTATTCGATTTTGCAAAATCAGGCGTTTAGACTCAGTAGACACTGCAGACACGGCTTACAAGGAATTTTATTCCCTGTTTCAAAATCCCGGTTCCTCTAGACTGAGTCCTGTGGGGTTAACTATCTGTCCTTGATGGTAGCATTCTCATTTAAAGCTAGCTTCCTTCTTCCCCCATGAGCTTCCCCTGTGGCTGTATTCTTAAAGTTTCACAATAGCACTGTTCTGTACAAGAGATGACCTAGAGAGTGTTTACTGTGTACCAGACTTGGTAGTTTCCAAACCCACCCAGGAGTATGGTGGAGGAAAGCCTGACCTTCTGCTTCCGGAAAGATGTCAGCCGATGGAACAGTTCCACTATGCACCTCATGGGGTGGAACTCCCAGATGTTAGGGCGGCCAGGGGACAGAACAGCCAAGCATCTGCCCTCGTGGAGGGAGCTAGGAGTTCAGAGATGTTCGCTGAGGGAGTCAGTCAGTCAGTCTCAGGTTTGGGGATGAGGAGAGCAAGATGAGGAAAAATGGAGCCAGGCTGAGGAGACAGAACTTTCAAGGATGCTCTGACCCTGTGCTGGATGGAGGCATGAGCCAAGGGAAAGCAGGAGTGATGGACAGGATGAACCATGCTGGGCTTCCTGGGCCATGGGCTGTGGGTCAGGGTTGGCTCCCAGTGGCTAACATGAAGGACAGGTTGGAGACCTTGCGGAGTTCTGTTGGGGTCTCTGCAGAGCTTAGGAGGGGAGCGGAGAGAGAAGTCCGTACCATAGCTGAGAGACTCTGAAGTGGACTCTAGGTGGAGAGATTCCAAGTTAGAATAAAGAGGATCGTCTGAGTAAAGATGACTCATGTGAGAGAGTTCGTACAGATCTCTGCATTCCTCTTGGACTTCTTTGTTTTGATACCCCCCACCCCGTTTTTCCATGTTTTCCAGAAGGACCAGGTGAAAGGGCATAAAATGACCAGCGTTGGCAATCTCTGTTGCCTTTATCCCGCTTCCGGCACTGCAAACTCATGCTGAGGACGGGAAGAGACGTGGGGTGGGGGTGGGACATGGCTTTCCAGCTGTACCTTTGGGCCACTTTATTCTACTTGAAGCTTTTGTTTTTTTTATTTTTCCTTTAAAAACAAAGATTATAAAGTTGGCTTTTCCTTTTTGATGCCAGCTGCTTCTAGACATTTGGATCCTATCTCTGCTTTTTCTGGCTGAGCAGGACAAAATGATATTTTGTATCATGGCCAACACATATCACATGTGGGAGCTTCAAAAAGTTTGTGGAAAAAATAGGATGAAAAGATAATGGAGTTTTTCCACGAATTTTTTGAAGACCCTCATATGTAACATAGCCTCATACGTAGCGTGATCCTAAATGCTTGACATATTCATTTATTCACTCCATACGGTAATCCCACAGCGATTTTAATGATTCCCTTTTGACAAAAAGAGGAAACCGAGGCACCACATTTGTGAAATGAACAGCAGAGCTAGAATTCACAGGTGGGGGCTTCACCCCTGCCCTTCAGTGTTTGTTGAGTGGTTGCAGGCATCGGAGGTCACCTGTCCCCCTATCCTCTCCCCAGCCCAACCCCGGAACCACGCAGAAGCGCAGGAAGTCACCGTCAGCAAGGAGCCTGTGCCCGTAGCCCGCTGTGTCTCCGGTGAGGGCCGTCCACCTGCGCGCATCTCCTGGTTCTCGCCCGTGGATGGGGTGGCTGTGGATAGCCAGACACCAGGATCCCTGCCGGGCACTTTCACCGTCACCAGCCGCTTCACCCTGGTGCCCTTGGGCCAAGTAGATGGCGTGAAGGTCACCTGCAAAGTGGAGCACGAGAGCTTCCAGGAGCCGGTCCTGCTGCCCGTGACCCTCACTGTGCACTGTGAGTGTTCCTGGCGTAGCCCACCCCAACACCACTGTCTCCACCACCGCCTCCTGGCCCTGGAGCACTGTCGGCACTGCCTTCCTTTCAGTGCCTACTCTGGCTTTCCTGGGCCCCCATGTATGCGACTTCCTCATTGTCTGCACTGGCTTCCCTGGACAACTACCTCCCTCATTGTCTACTCCGACTTCCATGGACAGCATCTACCTCCCTCGTCGTCTACACTGACTTCCCTGGACATCTAACTACCCCCCTCACTGTCTACACTGACTTCCCTGGACATCTAATTACCCCCTCATTGTCCACACCCACATCCATGGAGCTCTAACTACCTCCCTCATCATCTACACTGACTTCCCTGGACAATCTCTTACTAACCCCCTTATTGTCTACACCAGCCTGTCTAGATCCTCACATTGTCTACACTGGCTTCGCTGGACACCTGAAACCAATGAGAGGCAGAGTGGGCTTTCAAGAGCCAATTTAAATTTAGTACATTTCTTCCTAATTCTGCTTTCAGTGAAGTCTTGTTGGTGGTTTGAAATCCACCATGAGGACAGTATTTACACCAAGGAACTTGGCAAACACGGCCAATCAGAACCTTTTCTTCCCTCATTTGGGGAGAGCCAGTTCGCCAGTATATAATCTCTCCTGGCTCCCATGGGCCCCCGTCCACATTGCTCCCTGACTACCTGTATCAGCTCCATTGGGCCATGGTCTGCACTGCCTACCTCAGTGTTGTCTACATATAATCCTGTTGTTAAGTGCCATCGAGTCAGTTCCGACCCATAGCGACCCTGTATAGGGTTTCCAAGGAGCAGTTGGTAGGTTTGAACTGTCCATCTTACGGTGCTCAGTCCAGTGTGGATCCTACAGCACCACACCAGGAGTCCACATAACCTCTACATTGTCTTTGGCTTCTCCCTGGTCACTGTCCAAGGAGCCCTGCTGAAACTGGGTTAAGCATTGGCCTGCAAACCACAGGGTCAGTGGTTCAAACCCACCAGCCTCAGAAACAATGTGGAGCAGTTCGACTCTGTTCTGTAAGAGCGCTATGAAGTCAGTCTATACTGACCCCAACCCCTAATATTTCCATTGCTCCCCCGCCCAGTCCTGTTAATGCCGACCTCTCCCAGTATGTTCTATAACAGAGCTCCCAGAAACTGCCTATACTGACATCCCCTAATGTTAGCCACAGAACCCTGGTGGCACAGTGGCTAAGCACTTGGCTGCTAACCAAAAGGTCAGCAGTTCGAACCCACCAGTTATTCTGCCGGAGAAAGATACGACAACAGCTGCTTCCATACAGATTTGCAGACTTATAGACACCCTCTGGGGTAGTTCTCTCTCCCGCCGGGTCTCTCTCAGTCGAAAGCAGCTCAGTGGCAATGGGTTTGGTGTGTTTTGAATGTTACCCACAGACTCCACATGACAAGTCTCCACGTGACTTGAAATTCCTGCTGGAGAGGAATTTCATCAGCTCTCTTAATCACTGTGCAAATTTACCCCACATCCTAACTCAACATTAACGCTAGTCCCCAGGCAGTGCCTTTGGAGACGCTGATGCCCCAAGCTGTGTCTACGCTGGCTCACTTGGGAAGGATTCACTATGTGCACCCACCTCAGAGCTGTCTAGAAGGGGCTCTGGTAGTGTAGTGGTTGCGAATCGGGCAGCGAACCTCAGAGTCAGCAGTTCGAAACTACTAGTTGTTCTGTGGGAGAAAGATGAGACTTTCTGCTCCCGTAAAGATTTATAGCCTCAGAAACCCTGTACAGGGTCGCTATGAGTCGGAATCGACTCCACGGTGCTTAACAACAGCGCTGTTTATACTGGTTCCCCAGACACCCTCCCTGCTTACATCGTGTTCACTGGGCATGTGGGAAATAACACACATTATCTACACTTGATGGTAACCACCCTGCTCCCCCCTCCAAATAATCCACACTAGTTTACTTGACGCAAACTGGTGTGGCACTGTGGGCTAATGTGTCAGACTGCAAAGCCGTTTGAACTGCAAGGTCGGTAGTTCAAGCTCACCATAGACCCTATACAGGGTCACTATGGGTCAAATCGACTCAGTGGCATTTAACAGCAATAATAAACTTACTTGAGTGTTGGTGTGGTGCTGTAGGATAAGCACTGGACCGCAAGGTCAGTTTGAATTGCACAGTTGGTGGTTCAAACTTATCAGCCAGTCCGCAGAAACCCTACCTATACAGGGTCGCTAAGAGTCAAAACCAACACACTTAACAACAAGAGGGTCTCCACTGTTCTCAGCCTACCCAGCCTGGACCCACCTACCCTTGACAGATTCGATTCCCCTGGTCTCTCTCCTTGTCAACCGGTCACATTGCTATATGGTGCCATTCACCCCTTATCTGTCCACCTCTCTGGAATTCCCCATCTCTGAGCCTGTGTGTCCCTTTCCCCCCAGACCCCCCTGAAGTTGCCATCTCCGGCTACGATGACAACTGGTACCTCGGACGCAGTGAGGTCATGCTGAACTGTGATGTCCGCAGCAACCCAGAGCCGACAAACTATGTGTGGACCACGTGAGTCCAGTCTGGGGTCTGAGGGAGGAGAGGCTGGGGGCTGGACTCCTGGGTCTTCAATGAAGAAGAAAGCTGGCAGTTTGGGGTCTCTAAAGTACTGTCGGAAAGATTGGCGGTTCAAACCCACCAGCCGATTTGCAGGAGGAAGATGGGGTCATTTGCTTCTGAAAAGATTGGCAGCCTGGGAAACCCTATGGGATTACTTCTGCTCTGTCCTTTTGTGTCCCTGTGAATCAGAGCCACTCAGTGACATTGGCTGGCTGGCTGGGTGATGTGATGGCTTTGGTTCCAGTTGACTGACTCCTAGGGGGCTGTGAGCAGGGACCCAGTTGGTGTTCTCCTGTCACCCTGGTCTCCCCTCACCTGAATCACCCCCCTGCAGGACATCAGGGACCATCCCAACCTCAGTGGTCAACCGTGGTCCTCAGCTGCTCATCCCCTCAGTGGACAGGATGTTGAACACCACCTTTATCTGCACCGTCACCAACGCTGTGGGCACAGGCCACGCTGAGCAGATCATCCTTGTCCGAGGTAAGTGGGTCTGGGGGCAGCATGCAAAGACCCCCAGTCTGCTCCCTAAATGGCCTGCCTTCTGGGTGTGGGGGCCCGCATGGGGGAGCTGTGCCGCCGACCTGGGCAGGGACCAGACCCGCCTCACGGAAGGAGACGAGGGCAGTTGGCTCTTCCCTCTGGCTTTCAGACTGGAATCTAGATTTGGGAGACAGGGATGGCATAGGGAGAGCTGGAAGCTTCTAGAAAGGAGAGACCCAAAGAAGGTCTTCAAGAAGAGACCTAAAGAAGCTACTGGGGACCCCAGTTTGGGACAGACCAGGTTGGCAGACAAGAGTTGGGCCTCTAGACAAAAGCACAGATGGGTACCAGGACACACAGACTGGAAAGGAAAGGGGTGACAGCAAAGCAGGCCCAAGGGACACGCTGCTGGGAATGGGACAGGAGTCCCAGTCCAAAACCCCACCCCTAGAGGGGCTGGGACTGGGACACGCACACACGCGCACACACACACACACAAGATAAGAGACTGGGAGCAGAGTGGCCACGCCTGAGGAGACCCAACCCAGGCTCTGCAGAAATGCAGGGACATCCAGACATGTTACCACACACACTCAGCCATTGTCACCAAGACACACCCCTGAAAGAACAGTGACAACCAGCCAGCGACACTGTGTGGACTGCACCACAGTAGGAGGCCAGAGGGGTAGTGGCTATGGCCGAGTAGAGCCCGTCTCAGAAAGAAGGAAAGCTGTCCTTGTCAGACAGACAGACAGATGCCCAGGACCAAAGACAGACAGAAAACAGATCCTTCTAGTGAGACATAATATCACACCACAAGCCACATAGCACATACTACATGCATGGGGCACACTGCACATGACCCCTCCATACAACATCCTCCCCACATACTACATACACAGCCCACAAACATACACACTGCATGCCATATACACACCACATGCTCATATACAAACACTGCATCCATGCCACATAGTACACACACAAACACACCACACTACACACACCACATCCCCATGTATTCTATATACACACCATACAACATACACATGCATACATAGTCACACACACACTACATATACACTGCATACATACACACATACTATGTAATGCCCCATAATCATACACACAGCACACGGAGGTGGCCACACATGCATAAACACACGCCACATGTCACACAGTCTACACACATATCACCCATATGCGCACATACCACACACCTCCACACACACTACATAAACAACTCACACATATCCACGCAACACACTACATACATATTGCATAGTACATACCCAACCACAAGCTACATCCACATACCACCCCCCCCACAAATGCTGTGTACACACTGGTTTGGAGAGACACATGTATGTAAATAGACGTCTCCTCAGGAATTCAGAGCTGAGCACCAGGCAGAATGAGGGGCTTACTCAGTAGCCCTGTCCTGAATTAGAAATCCCAGGCAACCCTGGCCCAGCGTCAGCACATCTGGCGAGCTCACCACACAGCGTCCCCGTCTGGAGGGGAGGACACGATGGAGCCCACGTGTCAGAAACTGCCCTCCTAAAGAGACTCTAAGCCCCTCCCAGGGTGCACGCCCTCTGAAACTCTGAAGAAACTGCTTCACAGGAATTCTGCCACAAACAAGTCACTGAACAAATGCTTATGGAGATTTCCTCATTGGCAGGCATTCTGTGAGAACACAATGGTGGATGAGACAGAGTCCCTGCCCTCCAAGGTACACCAGAGGGTCAGAAACACACCCCTTTGTCTCTTCCTAAAGGCACCCCGTAGGGTTCCTCTCCGCTCACACTCACTCATAGGCACCTCAGATTGAAGGGCTATCCAAGCAAGATCCAACCTCACCAAAATATCCCAGCGCAAAGGAACACACTCCAGAGAAACTCTGGCTGTCTAGCCTCAGAGACAACACACACGCCTCCACGTCCTGCCCTTCTGTAATATAATACGAAAGGGCTTCCCAACATTTGTGGAAAATTCCCATTCTCTTTTCATTCCATTTTCTGAAGTACTTTGTACATTGCCATAAGCTACCATCCAGTTGCCCCTCCATCCCCCAGCTCAGGGGAACATCACACACGATGGGACGAAACGCTGACCAGCCCTGCGTCATCTCCATGATTGATGGTGGATTGGACCATTATGACCCCTAGAGTTTTCACTGGCTGGTGTTCACCGGGTCTTGATTCCTAATTATCTTAGTCTGGGCGCACCCCTGAAATCTGTTCAGCATCACAGCAACACCCATGGGTCCAGATGAGGTAGCTGCTGCTCATTAGGTGCATTGGCTGGGAATTAAACCTGGGTCTCCTCTGGAAGGCGCGAACTCTACAACTGACCCACCACTGTCCCTTGAGCAATAGAGATCCATTGCAGTTTACCCATACTCACAGGCCCAGAGAATCATACCCCCAAGAAAGAACTCTGTGGAAGGATATTACCGCCAAAGAAAACTACAGACCATACAGCCCAAAGCAGCATAGACAGACACACCCACAGACGAATGCTGGCACACTCGGAAAAACCAAACCCACTGGCATCAAGTTGATTTCAACATAGGGTTTCCAAGACCATCACTGTTTATGGGAGCAGACAGCCTCGTCTTTCTCCTGAGGAGTGGCTGGTGGGTTTGAACTATCAACTTTGCGGTTAGCAGCCTTCAGTGCCGCCAGGGCTCCGTACACACTCGGGTCTCTTGTAGATTCGTGCACATTCCCACACACACACTGTCACAAAGGCACATTGAGGTTTCCCAGAGCACGCACGTAAGTGTCCCCACAACAGTCTGGAAACCGCATCAGGGCAAGCCCATCTGCACTCTGCCGCCATCTCCGATGTACCACCCATGGAAGCACGGGTCAATGTGCCAATGCTGGCTCAAACATCAGTTTCTAGACATTGTGGCTCAGTACTCCTCAGGAAGTTGAAATTCCTGGGTGGCACAAGCAGTGAAATGGGCTCAGCTGCCAACCAAAAGGTTGGAGGTTCAAGTCCACCCAGATGTGTCTGGGAAGAAAGACCTGTCAGTCTACTTCTGAAAAAATCAGCCCTGGAAACGTCTGGAGCCTCAGCCCTCCTCTGACACGTGAGGTCACCACAGATCGGAACAGACACGGCAGTAACTGGTTTGGCATTGTAAGACATCTGTTTCATAACTAAATGTTGTTTGTAGCTAAGCGCTGTAGAGTTGGTTTTGACTCTTAGTGACCCGGTATAGGGTTTCTGAGGGTTTAAATCTTTTTGCGGGACCGGGAAGTCTCATGTTTCTTCCTTGGAGCTGCTGGTAGGTTAGAACCGTGGACCCTGTGGTTTGCAGCCCAGTGTTTATCGAAGGAACCACTGCACGCTCCCTATAGCTATATGAGAGTACTTCAGAAAGTTCATAGATAAATTCCATTAACTTTTCATTCCATTTTTCCATGAACTTTTTGAAGCCCCCTCATATATACATGGTGGTGGTTATGTGCTTTGGAGTCAGTTCTGATTCATAGAAATCCTCTCTAGGGTTTCCGAGGCTGTAGATCTTTTTTTCCTCGGAGCAGCTGTAGTTAGCAGCCCAACTCATAATCCACCACGCACGCTATCAGAGCTCCTCGTATAGGTTGTTGTCATTGAGTTGGTGGTTCAGAGACCCTGTATCAAGTTTCCTAGGAGCAACTACTGGGTTTGAACCACTAGCTTTAGGGTTCACAGTCCAGCCCTTATCATACAGCCCCACACTAGGAGTCCTACCTATGTATGTAACTGGTGGTACAATGACCAGCTGCTAAAAAGATTGGCGATTCAAACCACCCCATGGTTCCACAGGAGAACAGCGTGGTGATTGGTGCCCATAAAGTGTCATATGGGGTCACTGTGACTCATTGGTACCTAACAGCAGTGGTACCCTCCACACCAAATGGGATATGTGTGTGTTATATAGTTAACTTTTGACACCAACTCTTTATTTTTAATGCTGTAAATCACTAACCTGATTTGATAACCCACTAGGTGGGGACCTCTGTCTGACATTTCAGCCTCTCCTGTGGTGTGCGGTGTGCATCAGAGGGACCAATGAAGCCCACAGATCCCTCACATTAGGCCCTACATGTGGTGGGGTGGGCAAAGGAGTGTATGTCTGAGAAGATTCTGGTATTCTTGTCAGTCCCTGGTTCTGGGCTCCCCCACCCTCTAACAGATCCTCCCTAACTTCCTGTATCCATTTCTTCCCTGCGTCCCATGGACTCCTCTGAACTTAGTGTCTTCTGGGTGCATTGTGGGAGGCCAGACACATGGCTCCAAGAGGAGGCAGCCCTCAGGAGTGAGGAATTAGTGGAGGCCCCTACATAGGCTCCCTGGGAGTCTGAAGTGACTCCCTGGCAGTGGTTTTGTATTTTTTTCCTGGGTTCTGCCCTATTCTAGAATCTCTGGGTGACACAACAGTAAAGCACTGCTCTACTACCTGCAAGGTTGGTGGTTTGAACCCACCCAGAGGTCCTTGCTAGTCGGCTTCCAAAAAGTCCCAGCCTCAAAACCCTATGGAACAGTTCTTCTGTGCACACATGGGGGCATCGTGAGTCGGAAACGACATATCGACCCTAACAACCATTGCTAAGTGTTGGAATCACCCAGCCTCCTGTTCAAATCCTGGATCTGACTTCAAAAACTTGTCAGAATCCCACAGAATGGACACGCCCCCAACCCCCTTACCGGAAGTGAGTCACCGCCTAACCGGCTTTCCCTGGCAACAGAGGTGAATGACCAGGTGATAATGGGAGTTTGGTGTGACCAGATCACCGGATATTTTTACCCCCTAGCGTAGTGGTTATGAACCGAGCTGCTAACCTCAGGGTCAGCAGTTCGAAACTACTAGCTGTTCTGCCGGAGGAAGATGAGTTTCTGCGCTCGTAAAGATTTACAGCCTTGGAAACCCCGGCCAGGGTCTCTATGACTCCACAGCACATAACAACAAGGAGAAATCTGGACGTTTAGGTAAAATCATGGAATTTTTAAATGTCGGTGTATCGTTTATAAATTTTTGAACTCCGGCATGCAGGTGTGAGGAAACACAAATTGGGGGACACGAATTTGCAACCCACCCATGGGAAGTGCCAGCGTGTAACAAAGAGGAAATGGTTTCCCCCCTTCCCCCTTCTCCTTCACTCTTCTGCCTGGTCGGGGTGGGCTCCCCACCTAATTCCCAATGCTGCCCCATCTTATGTCTTCCTACCCCCTCGTCCGTCCCCCAAATTATCCTCTTGACCTCGTGTTTCCCTTTCTCTCTCTTTCTCACCCCCTTTCTCTCCTCAGACAACCCCCGGGCCTTGACCCAAGACGTGGGTCCAGTGGTGTGGGGGGCCGTGGGGGGGACACTCCTGGTGCTGCTTCTGGCTGGGGGGTCCTTGGCCTGCATCCTGCTGTGGAGGAAGAGGAGGAGGAAAAGCCCCGGAGGAGGAGGAGAAGGCGGTGACGACGGGGGAGGATCATACGATCCAAAAACTCAGGTGTTTGGGAACGGGGGGCCGGTGTTTTGGACCCCGACAGCCCCTGGTCCCAGGAGGCCAGAGGGCACGGACGAGGAGGAGGAGGAGGAAAAGGCAGAGGAAGGCCTGATGTTGCCTACACCCAAGGAAGTCATGGAAGATGATATGGAATCCCAGCTGGATGGCTCCCTCATCTCCCGGCGGGCAGTCTACGTGTGACCGTGTGACCATGTGACCGGGAGACACACACACAGAGTGAGAGACAGAACCTGAGGACACCCCGCCCCCCACTGCCTGCCCCACAAGCCGTGCCAGCAGAAGGTTCTGGACTGGTTGGACTTGTCTGTCTGGGTCACACTGGAGTTGGAATGCTCCCTCCCACCTGTGCTGGAATTGGAATTTGGAAGGGAGGGGGACAAGCACTGGACTTCTCCTGTCCCCCGGGGCTGCATGGAGGGTGGGAGGCCAGTGGGAGCTCAGAATTGGGGATCCAGGAGGGAGCCCCAGCTCTAGTTTGCTCCTGCCCGGCACACTCAGGAGTTAATAAACGCCTTGAAGGAAACCAGCAGGGATTTCTTCTAATACATCAGACCCCTCCTGGGTCTGGGTGGGAGACAGGCAGAGGGCAGGGACTACTGACTGGTTCCCAGGGGTTGGCAAGGCTAAAGTCTCAGGAATTTTGAGGTGTAGTGGGTAGGCTTCAGATCCTGGGAATTCTGGGTGGGTCCGACCTCTTGGGTCCTTGAAAGACACACTGGACATCTTTGAGAACCCCAGGCAAGGACTAAGTGGGTTCTGGGTTTGAGTCCGTAACCACGGCTGCTTTCCCAGGTGGAGTTGGCCAGATGGGTGGGGTGGAGGGTGATTCATGCCTAAGGTCCTGAGGGCATGCTTTGTCAGAGAGGAGGGTTACCCCACTTCCTGAGATACCAAGGGTATGGTGGGAGGGGCAGCACTGGGGACAGTGGGCCCCTGAGGGACTAGGAAAGCCCCCCACCCCCAACACTGTACAAGACTCCTTCCTCTTCACTAACCCCAGGGCCCCAGCTGGGAGGAGACTTTTAAGCAGGAGAGGTTATAACCTCTCTGTACTCCCTCCAACCAGAAAAACCTCCCCAGTCTCCAGACAGAAGGGCTCCTGGAGCTCCCAGACCGAGCGCTAGGGTGTGGAAGGGGCAGGGTTCAAGTCCCAGCTTGGGGCACAGGCTCCTTGAAGTGGGTGAGTTGGTAGGCTCTGCTTCCTTGGGCTTTTGTGGGATTTCCATGAGGTTGTGCCGGAAATCGGCAACCACCTATTAAACCTGTGTTGCCTTCCATTCACTCTAAAGCCACGGTGGAGAAAGTCCAGCCCGAGGGCCATGTGAGACGAGCACTGGTGGGACAAGAAATTCAATAAATCTACATGTTTTCATGGCAACATAAATTTATATTAAGTGATGTTATAAATACCCAAATGGCCCTTGGCAGGAAAAAGGTCCCCCACCCCTGCTCTAAAGGGTCTAGCACTGATGGTGTTGGGGACACAGGAATCCAGACACTCACTAAAACTTGCCTTTCCAGGATGCACAATTAAGAACAGGAATAACTGATTTTAGAGTGATGGTTTGTGGGTTGAGCAACAATCTAAAATCAGATAGTCCTGGGACTCCACACAAAGGAGTCCTGGAGGTGTTGGGTTGCAAACCACAAGGTCAGCACAAGTCCACCGCCTACTTCGAGGAAGAAAGAAGTAACTGTCCGCTCCCATCATGCTTTACAGTCTCAGAAACCCTAAGGAGTAGTTCTCTGTCCTTAGGGTCACTGTGAGTTAAAATCACCTTGACGGCAGTGGATTTGGTTCTTTGGTTTGGGGTCCAGATATGGAGTTCCTGGGTGGTACAAACTGTTAATCACTAGGTTATTAACGGAAAGCTTGAAGTTCAAATTCACCCAGAGGCAGCTTGGGAAAAAGGCCTTGATCTGCTTCCAATATGGCAAGCAAAAATAAAACTCACACAGAACACAAAACCTTTTTACCATTAAGCTAATTCCCATTCACAGACAAAGGAGAACTGTCCCCTTGGGTTTCCGAGCCTACCTACCATATTAACAGAAGTAGACTGCCTCATTTTCTCCCATGGAGCAGCTGGTGGGTTTGAACCTCCAACCTTTTGGTTAGCAGTCAAACACAAACACGGTGCCTCCAGTCCACAGCCTTGAGAGCCATATAGAGTGCAGTTCTACTCCGACATGCTGCTCGCTATGTGTCCAACTCAAAGGACAACTAGTTTGTTTTTTCTGGTTTGGGATCCAGACTTGGAGTCCCTTGGTGGCACCAGCAGTTAAGCACCAGTGTACTAACTGAAAGCTAGAGGCTCAAAGCCTGTGAGGTGTTTGCATTCTTGTGTGTTATTATCCCCAGTCAGCCAGGGGTGTGGGATTGTGTCCATGTGAATCTCTTACTTACAGTAGCAAGCCCTTCAGCACACATGCTGGGCCCCTTATTTGTCTAACAAATACCTACGGTGTGCCAGACTCTAGGCAGGGGAGGCTGTAGGCAGGGCAGGACCTGGAGCTCACAGGATCTGCTGTGGAAATGGACAAGTAAACAGGTAATTGCACCATAATCACTTCGTGAAGAGAGGTGGGAGTGCTTAGGGAAAAACCCTTTTCATGTTAGGCTGGGGGAGCGATGAACTTTTCAGATAACTCCATCTCTGTAAAGAATGAGGGAGTTCTGGTCCCGATCCCCAGTGTACACCCCCCCACCCATGTTCTCAGCCTTTTAGCTCCTCTACCCCCACCCGTCTTTAGCCCTCAACTGTCCTCTGCCGCCTCATTCCACTCCTGCCACGTGGACACATCATTCCTGAGAAATACTATTCCTCTCCCACCCCTGAGCTGTTGTACTGGATGTTACTCCTCCCCAAAATGCTCTTTCCCCCATCTCATGGTTTGCCCCCACCTTCCCGTCAGGTCTTGGCTCAAATGTCACCCACCCTCTTGGTGATGCCTTCCCGGCCGCCATGTTGAAAATTGCTTTGAGCTTTTACTCCATAATTTCCTTATCGCTTATGTTCCTTGTCCCCCCCAGTAAGGGGTATCTTAGATATTGTCTTTGTTAATATGTTTACTTTGGTCTCACTTCTCAATTGGAATATAAGTTTCATGGGGATGGGCTTGCTTCCATATGTCTTGTCCACCCCTCCGTCCCCCATGCCTGACAGTGTATGCTCGTTGAAGCACCCCTGCTCTTGGGAGAGGAAGTGGGCAGGTGAGAGTGACTGGGGATGGTGCTGGAGACCCCCCTCACGCTGTTCCTCTTCTTTGCAGAGACCCCCAACACCGCAGGTGCGGGGGCCACAGGTGGCATCATTGGGGGCATCATCGCAGCCATCATTGGGACAGCTGTGGTTGCCACGGCCATCCTCATCTGTCGACAGCAGCAGAAGGAACAGAGACTCCAAGGGCCAGAGGAGGAGGATGAGTGAGTGCCGGGCTCCTAGGTGTAGATGGGGGGTGGGAGGAGCCAGAAGTGGAGTTTTCCAGGTGGGGAAGTGTGAGGTAGGAGAGAATCAGCTGAGGTGACTGTGTGGAACCAAGATCCCTTCCCCGCCCCCCCAAAGATTGACTTAAGTGGGGAGAATGTTTACTTCTCTCTCTTGTAAAGGCCTAAGCAGCTCTGATAGTTCTGCTTTGTCTGTGACCTTGCAACGTCCCAGGTCCCTGCTATCTTGTTGCTCTATCTTCCCCACTATTGGCCATCCTCCACATTCCAAAATGACTTCCCACTTCAGACAGAGCCATTCCCCTTTAAGGTCTGTGGACAAGACAACCAAATGTGACCTTCCTGTTCTCAGGGCCCCTTTTACTCCAGCCAGTGGTTAAAAGAGAAACTGAAAGAGAAGCCAGGTTGCTGCTCAGTAAGGGAAGAGCTGAGAAGTTGGCCTCTCATTTCTCATTGGCCAGAACTTAATCACATGGCTGGCTGTAGTTGCAAAGGATGCTGGGAAATGTAGTCCTTTTTTTGCTAGGTAGTCATGTACCCAATGAAAATCTTATTTCTATGAGAAAGTGGGAGAGTCAATATAGGCAAACTAGCCACACTTCTCTGCATAGAGTACTTATTATGTGGCAAGCTTGCTGATGTACATTTTACATGAGTGACTTTGCTTTACTCTGTAATTCAGCGACTTTTCACAGATTAGGGGGTTAGGGACTCAACGGGGAGACAAATATTTTTAAAGTGTCCCCATCAGTAAATATATCACAGAAATGTACACTTCCAGAGGGAGCTAATGATACCTATTTTGTTTCAGAGTCCTGAAATCGCTTGCTGAAGTTCACCCAACAAGCAAATCTTTTTGTGGTCACACATTTCTCAAAAAAAAAAACACCCTGTGTGTGTATGCATGTGTGTTGGGGTCAGAGGGAGAATTGTGTCTTGAAAAAGCAAATTCCTGGGTCTCGCCCCAGAGCTACTGAATCTTAATATTTACAAGAAAGGCTTAAAATCTGGCTCCTAATGACCCTGTTCCATTTCATTTTTGAAAACTTCCAATTTTCCCAGATTCATACTTCGTACATTCCATGTTCCGATTTTCAGTGGATGTTTACAGCTGTTTCTCTTCATTTTGATTTGTGGCCCATCAGCAAATGAAGGTTCTGTGAGCTTTTCTCCCCCGAGCTTAACTCTATTCACATAAACATC